CATTAAATGACCTTGCAGGATTGCTGTGAGGATTAGATGAGATGATTTATGTAAAACACACGGCCCAATGCCTGCCATATAGTAGATGTTTAATAAGTAGTAACTACTGTCATTCACCCTACTAGAGACAGGGAGGCCAATTAGGAAGTTACTAGGAGGGTCAGGAAGGTGGTATGAAGACCTGCTATCTGGCAGTAATGGTAGCAACAGAGAGGTGACAAAAAGAGAAATTTAGATTGAGAAGGATAAAGGCTTTTTTTCCCCAGGGAAAGCTTTTATTTTGAATGCATAAAATTTAGAAATGTTTAAACAGGAAAGAATATGATGGATAAAGTTCCCCTAAATCTGAATTTAGTGCTAAACTAATAAAAATACTAATAGGCTTGGTTGGGGGTAGTGTTCAGTTTTCTTTGGGGTGGGGGTTCTTGTTTTATGTTGTTTTTAAACTAGAATTTATTGAGATAAATATTAAGTTTCACAGACTTCTAACAGTTCATAGCATGTACAAATGGTGTTTATTGATTTAAATGTCTGTCCCTGATCATACAAAATTCAGTTACAGCTTAATTCTAATAGTGGATCATTTAGTTCAATCTAAATTCAATACTTAATACGGATCTAATCCTAGATGGTCTAATGAAGTGGTCTAATATCCATAAGAATTTCATTAAAACCATCTAGATTCACAAAACATCATCTTAGGAATTTAATTCTATTAAACTTCAATCTGAGCAAAGGTAGCATCAATTAAGGAAAAACAGTTAAATTGGAAAGAAATTGATGTGGATGTTTAGGAATTGGCTACTGCAAACCTGAATCAAACCTGCAGGTGACCAGCACCAGAACCTTCACAGCTTATCCCTCCTCCTTCCTTGGGGACCTGATGATTCAGGGAGTCTGCTGATCCTCTTCGGCCTCTGCCCAAGGCTGCATGTGGGGACCATTTGGGAAAAGCTGGAATTTAAACTTCTTCAGCCAGTTTTGTCCATGTGATTATTTTCTTAGCTCAGTGAACTTTCTCTCAGCCAAGCTGCCAACCAACTTTCTTGAGCTTTTTTCTCATGGGAGACAATCCAGCTCTGATAAAAGAAAGTGCTTCTTTCCAGCTCTTTCTCCAGGCCATCTTCCTGTAGGAGCCATACTTCTGATGTCTATGGCTAATGTTTTCATACACTTCGGGAAGTTTTTTCTAGATTTCTAAGCAATAAATTCTCTCCTCGATTTTTTGCAAATTTGCATTACATGTTCTTGATGTAGTCCAGGCAGTATTTGAAGTTTTAGCTGAAGTTTTTGAATCTTGCTTTCAAACTGAATTTTCAAACTGCAAAGATGCTAGTTCAATTTGGAGACCATTCGTTTGAACTCTAAGTGATTTGTTGATTTAGTTTTCTTCACATTTTAAATAGTCGTCTTTGTCTCCTTCAAGCCTTTTTGAGGAAACATTTAACATCAGTGTATTTCCTCAAATTAACTTCTGACTGACAGTTTAGGGGTTCTCAATTTTCTGCTTGGCTCTTCGTCTGGGGCCAGCTAGGTGGCATAGTGGTTAAGTTCATGCGCTCTGCCTCAGCCGCCCAGGGTTCTTGGGTTCAGGTCCTGGGCACAGACCTGAACACCACTCATCAAGCCATGCTATGGCGGCGTCCAACATACAAAATAGAGGAAGACTGGCACAAATGTTAGCTCAGCAACAATCTTCCTCAAGCCCAAAAAAAAAAATCTTTGTCTAATTTCAGGTTGCCATCATCCATGTAGTCTTCTCTAAAGAAGGCAAGCAAACTTATCATCTTTAGTGTGGTTTCAGAGATCAAGGCCTCTCATTCATTGTTTTCAAGTCATCAAGAATTTTTTTCTGTTCCTTCATTTCCCACACTTTTTCTTCCACCTCACAGCTTCTTGGGAATGCAGTTTTAGGCTTTCTTAAAAATGAGTGTTCTCATCCAAACCATCCATGATTTCCCTCTGAAGTTGTTCTGTGTTCTTCTGAGAGGCTTTTAAGATGTTTTGGCATTAGTCACTTGAGATTGAGGGATTTTGATGCATCTTCAAGTGACTATGTCTGTCCTTAAAGTCAAGCCATGAAATGAAAGTTTGGGGGGCAAGGGGTCCGGCCCGGTGGTACAGCAGTTAAGTGCTCACGTTCTGCTTCTCAGCAGCCTGGGGTTCGCCGGTTTGGATCCAGGGTGTGGACATGGCACCTCTTGGTAAAAGCCATGCTGTGGTAGGTGTCCCATGTATAAAGTAGAGGAAGATGGGCATGGACGTTAGCTCAGGGCCAGTGTTCCTCAGCAAAAAGAAGATTGGCAGTAGTTAGCTCAGGGCTAATCTTCCTCAAAAAAAAAAAAAAAAAGTTTGGGGGGTTCACTTCTATTCTTTTTGGAGGTCTACAATATTCCCAAGTGACAAGTGGACCTGTCCAGATATTTGTAAGTGCTACCAAACTCAGTGTTTGTAACTTCAGAGGGCTGGAGGTAATTTGAGGGCTTTCTTGGTTTGTGTCATGTCTAATCTCACTGACTTTAATCCAGCCAGAAAAAAATCTTTCGGCTAGCTCTTTTTCCCTCCTTAAAGGATGTCTGCTCTTTACTGTAAAAACAGTCAGAGAGGCCATATCAGAATCTCCTAGGGAAATTCACAGAGACTTGGGCCTTATCTCAAGCATCAGACAACACCATGTGAGGGCTGAGAGGAGAAAGGAAGACCAGGTTCTATAAAAGAGAGCTTGCTATCTTTGCTCTGCTCACTGCACAAATAGAAAGTGATATTTGTTCAGTACATCTGGACAAGTAGAAAACAATTGCAACCAGAGGAGACCAGCCCTCAGCTCTGATCACTCTAGTCCTGACCTGATCCTACAGGAAACCTCGGAAATCAAAGGGGTGCCATGCCATTACTCATTCTCTGCACACGAGTATGTCATGGCATAGTGGTGGGGCACACTGCAGTAGAAGACTCCTGTGCCCACGGCCCTTGGTGAGGCTTATTCTTCTGAGTTCAAGTTTCTTGGGCAGCAGGGAAGCCTGATCATGCCTGCAAAGGTCACAGGGATCTCCCTCCCCCGAAGGCTCCCCCCGGTTTGTGTTTGGTCCGTCCAGGTGGGCAAGGGCAGAGCACGGAAGGGCCTCAACAAAGGTATTAACTAACAGCCCTATATTTCAATATCAGATTTGGCAGTGTCTTAATAGTTAATGGGTTTTCTGTGGGGTCAATTTGTCCCCATTCAATCCAAGCATTCCTAGAAGAGGGAAACTCCTCCAGTGGTGACTCAGTGACTCAGTGACGCAGGCTCCTTCCGTCATGTGACGCTGCCATCTTCAGCTCATGGCTCCCAAGATTGTCCTGCAATTGGTGTCCAACTCAGGGCGTCATTTTCAAAAGTGTGGCTGCCTCAGTGAAGGGAGTAGGTTCTTTTGGCTGAATCTGAGACTTTCTGTTCCTTTAAACAATATCTCACTCTCCTAGTTTCTCTCTAGTAGACTCAGCCCAAGCCTCATCACCTGGGACGGTGCCTGGAGGGACTCTGTGAAGAGTCTTTTTCCATAGGGAAAGCAAGAACTCTCAGCAGATGACGGTCTGGAGATCTCACAGGTGTCCAGGGCTCAAGCCATAGGTTTTTTTATAAATGTGGAGAATTGAGGCTCAGACTAGGCCTTGCAACAAGGAGAGGAGCTGGCCAAATGCCTGATGAAGTTTGTTTAGAATTCATTTATTTGAAAAGGGGAAGGAGAGGGCTTATTTTAAGTGGTAAACTGGACAGAATCAGGAAGGATAGGGAGGTATTTTAGTATTTTGTTGAATGACATTTTTTTTCAATATGTGTAATAAGTCTCTTTATTCAGTGTTTTTTTCCCTTCAGTGCAATTTTGTCTTTTGTAGAAAATGATGCCCTTCTGCTACACTGATGTTTCCAATGACACAAGATGATTTTAGGTGGTTTACTGACTCAGCATTAAATAACACTGAGTCAAATAGTGAGAATGTCATTTCTTTCGCTTGCAAGCCTTTTAATTATATTAAAAGCTTTTCTCTGATTCTTGCCTATCTCCCTCTTTAGTAAAGAGAGCAAGTCTCATGTTGACAGCCTTCTGTGACCATCAGTATCTTCCTAGGTTTTAATAAATACAATTTGCTTTCATTATCTTCATTTTTATAGTTATCTTCCACTTATGGAAAATGACACTGATTTTCCATTTGGAGAGGGCGATGTAAATTTAAGCCAAAAAAACCTTTTTTTTTAAAGATTTTATTTCTTTTCCTTTTTCTCCCCAAAGCCCCCTGGTACATAGTTGCATATTCTTCATTGTGGGTCCTTCTGGTTGTGGCATGTGGGATGCTGCCTCAGCGTGGTTTGAGGAGCAGTGCCATGTCTGCGCCCAGGATTTGAACCAATGAAACACTGGGCCGCCTGCAGCAGAGCGCGCGAACTTAACCACTCGGCCATGGGGCCAGCCCCAAAACCAAAAAAATTTTTAAGTGAGCTGACTGAAAGAAAAATATTAGATAAACAGTAGTATAGGTGATATGTAGATGTCAACAACAAAAAGACTGTGATGTTGCTATGCAAATAACAACACCATTCCAGAATCTCTGATCCTTTGTAATTTCTTCTATATGTTCTTTTGAGTGGGATTTGGAACTAAATTACCATTGAAACATTTAAGGCAAGACATCAGCCAAACTACAGTAGCTTTTACTTATTTAAATCCTTATACCACCTTCTGGTTTAACAGAAAATTCTTGTCCTTAATTATGATAGCATTGAGCCTTGAAGTGAAATGTAATTAAAATTGCATTATATGTATTATGTAAGATACAAGATCTCGAGCCAGCCCTGATGGCCTAGCGGTTGAAGTTTGACGTACTCCACTTCAACAGCCCAGTTCAGTTCCCAGGCACGGAACCACACCACTTGTCTGTCAGTAGTCATGCTGTGACAGCAGCTAATGTAGAAGAGCCAGAAGAACTTACAACTATGTACTGAGGCTTTGCGGGGTGGGGGAAGGAAGAAAAAAAGAGGAAGACTGGCAACAGATGTTAGCTTAGGGCAAATCTTCCCCTGCAAAAAAAGATACAGGATCTCTGCAGTATATTATTGTAGTATCATGGGATTTTAGAACACAAAGAGACATACTGATGCTTTCCTCATCAGATGAATCTATTATTTGGTAGGTCAATCAACATTTGGTCTTAAACCTTTAAAGATATCCTTTGTGAGCAGTCCATAGCACAGACTCACCTGCAACAATTCTGTTAGAGTTCATGTTGGTCAAGGGGTTGCTTCTTCAAAAGTCATAATAGTAATTTGATAGTTACTAGCTAAATTTCAACAAAAAAGAAAGTGGTTGGTCCCAAACACCCACTTGAATTCTGTCCCTCGGAAAATAACACCATAGATTTATTAGCATTGCTACTGGCACAGATAATATCAGGCATTACAACCTTTATTAACAAAGTGTTTCTCATTTTAATACTTCTAGTCATTTCCTCACTTAATTAGTATTGCTAGTTGCCCTAAAGAATTTAACACTAAGCTTATTGTTAGAGACGATGTACACTGTTTCCATAGCATTCCAAAGCAGAACATTAGATGTCTGTATTAAATTCAAGCAAAAGTGTGAGGGAAATCATTACTGCATCTCTCAGGGGCCTTGCTGGCTCTCACGGCGAATAAGGTGGTGGTGACTGCGTTGCAGAAAGTTTCTCGTAGGCAGGTGGAGCATTGGGAACCTGTGAGAAAGAGAAAGGGAGAGTATGGGCTTGGCAACAGTGCATGTGTTTCTGGGAGAGGGATTAAGTCAAAATAGCATCATACTTATACTTTTGCTTGGGACTGAAACTTGTAAGTGCCCACATCTAATTTCCACCCAATGAGGTAATCATTGTTAAATTTCACAAGTGTGTATGTTGAAACATTGTTGGGGGGAAGAGCAGAGAAAAGTAGGGCTGAGGGGCTTCCCAAAAATCTCAAAAATTTATTTATACCTGAATTATCCTTGTCAGTAGAAGTTCCACACCCTAACTAATAAATCTTGAACTGCAGACACTAATATACATTGCATCTTTACAACACAGATCCTTGCAGTTGTGTCTAAAGGCCATGGCTACTATCAACAGAGCACAAATGTGTAAGGCCTTCATTTAACGCACACAACTCAAGGAGTATTTTCATTGTTTTCATGTTACAGGCGGGGAAACTGAAGCATGGGGAGGTTAAGTCACTTGTCCAAGGACACACAACTAGTAAGTCATGGAGCTGAGAATCAAACACAGTAATTTGGCTCCAGAGTCAGTGTTCTCAACCGTTATGATACACTGCATCTATACCAGCGCCATCCAATAGAAATACAGCGCACCACATATGCGATTTTACAATTCCTAGTCACTACATTAAAAAAATTAAAAGAAACAGGTAAAAATCTTAATAATATATTTTACTTAACCCCACATATCAAAATATTACCATTTCAACAAGTAATCAATATAAAAATCATTAATGAATTATTTATATTGTTTTCCTCATACTAAGTCTTTGAAATCTGGTGTGTATTACAGCACACCTTAATTTCAAACTACTATGTTTCCAGTGCTCAGTAGACATATGTGACTAGTGGCTACTGTATTGGACAGCAGAGCTCCACACAATTAATAATAGGTACTTTTTTCTCCCCCTTAGATATATCTACATTCAGGACAGAGGCAAATATACTAAAAACATAAGACAAAAGGATGACATATCCAGAACCAAGTTCTTTGGATCTTATTATATGTAGGGATCTCATCATTGACCCTGGGAAATCTGGGTATTAGAGGACACAATTTAAGAAAATCTCTGTGATTCCCTTGTTTTTTATCTTTATTTTTTATTATGGTAAAATATACATAACATAAAATTTACCATTTTAACCATTTTTAAGCATACAGTCCCGTAGCATTAAGTACATTTACAATGCCCTCGCTTTTCAAATGAAAATAATTTTGTACGTTTGAGTTAAAAGCAGCCATAAGTGAAAACACCAAGATGAAGGAACTCAACCTACCACAGGGTCACAACTGTTCTCCTGAAAAGGCAGTTTGCTGTCCTGGTGACCAAGCCCCTCACGTGGACATCTTCCTGTTAAGGTACTTTGAGTACTAACATAAATGCTTTTGTCCTGAAATATGAATTCATCAAGATCAGTGAGTGAGAAAAAATAATTGAGTACATTGAAGAAAAGAGAAGGAAGCCGAAGTTTTAAGAATGGGTTTTAATCTTAGTTCTACCACTTATTTGCTGTGTGTCCTCAGACTCGTCACTTAACCTCTCTGAATTCCCATTTTTGTGTCTGTACTATGAAGATAATACCACCTACCTCTCAGAGTTGTTCTGGGAATTAACTAAAACTCAAGCACCTGGTACAGTGCCTGAACCCAATAGTTAGTCAACAAATATTTTTTAAGGGAAGGAGAAAAAGTGAATCTAAAAAATGAACCTCAGAGAATGATTGCACGTGGAGTAGATCAGAGCTAGTGAGGCAGGAGCTGGTATCACAGTGAGGACAAGCGTATGAACAACTTGACAACAGGGGCACACTGTCTATTTCTGCCTTCTCCATAACGACAGCAAAATATCTTAAACACTGCGAATGTGTATGTTGTGATAAAAATGCTGTGGTGTAGCCCTGAGCTTCCAAGTCAGGTTGCAACAATGATGACAAGTCGGTCTAAGGTGAAGTGATGAACCCTGAGTTATTGGGGGGATGGGTGGGTAAAGTCTGGGTTTGGTGCTTTGCATAGGTTGAGGGGGTGATGCTCTCCATACCGGAATAGAATGATAACAGTCTGTACAAGACAGAGACACATCCCAAAGTGGGGACTGCAGAAGCGGTCCTCCCTAGTGAGGGGCAGTATTGCCTCACTGACATTGTTTAAAATTGCTGGCACATTGTGATCATAAAAAGCAGACTAACTTTGAGTCACTTTCATTACTGTTGTTAAATTCTCCACTGCAGTGGTTCTCAAACTTTAGCATCCATCAGCGTCACCTGGAGAGCTTGTTAAACACAGATTGCTGCACCCACACCCAGAAATTCTGACATAGTAGGTCTTAGGTGAGGCCCGTGAACTTGCATTTCTAACATGTTCCCAGGTGATGCTGCTGCTGCTGGTCCAGGGCTGCACCCAGAACCACTGCTCTACAGACAGGGCACCTCCGTATCGCCTGCACCTGGGGCGACTCAGCTATCCTCAGATGCTTAGAGGGACCAGGCAGGTGATGCAAGGGGGTCAGGTGGGACCAGGTGGGGGCCGTGGGAAAGGAGGGAGTGTACATCCCATCTAAGGGGACAACCACGGCATAGCCGTCCGTTTTTGCCAGATCTTTCAATATTTTAAAAAAGAAACTAGAAATCAAGATTTTTATGTAAAATGTTACTTTTAAATGTTGGTACCTAATTCAGTTTTTTTAAATACAGGCCCAAACATATCTGTGAGCCAAATCCAGCCAGTGGGGCGTTAGCAGCATGCTTTCTGTGGTACTGGCTGAGAGGGGCTGGAACGGGGAGGCTGTGCAGGGGTCCAGCAGCTCTTCGGGCTTGTCTGTCTGATGGTGGCTAATCATTGGTTGGAGGAGACGGGCATCAAGGCAGGTTACCCAGGGAGAAGAAGTGTTTGGAACATCAATTGGATGAGGCCAGACATGGATTGGGCTGATACCTACACAGTCTGCAGGCTGTAAAGTAGTTTTCCTAAACTCTAGTCTGAAATTATTATTGACTCTACCCCCAGGAAGGATATATGCACAAGGACCCTAATGTTGACTGAGGACCCAGGGTGGTTCTGCTCCCCGCCCCAACTCCCAGCGATATACCTCAGGTAAGGTGTTTAACGTGTTCTCTCCATTTACGTCAATTATCTCTTTTATTCTTGTTCTATTTTATAAATCTCACACCTGCCATAGGATAGGAGCATGACCCACTCACTCAGTTCACTGCCAGTTCTCGGTATTTGCATTCAAACTTCAGTGTGCACATTGAAATGTAGGTTCCTCGGTCCCACCACCAGAGATGGTCCCAGAGTCTGCATTTTAGCAAGACCCCGGGTGATTCAAGTGTGTTGAGAAACACAACACCGTGAGACATGAGTGTAAACTGAGCTGTGGGCAGGGCCTCGAAATTCTCCAAGAATCAAAAGTATTATGTCCTAAACTTCCAAGTGAAAGAGTAAAATTGGTAAATACAAAAACCAACATCCAGTCCAGTACAGATCATTTTCCTGCAAAAACATGTTGCTGCAAAAAGCAGTCTTTCCATTCAAAAGGTGTTCTTCAGGTCTAAGGGGAATTGTTAGCCAGGGAGAAATTTTAGGAGATGTTAATTCCAAGCAATGTTGCTACCATTCTGTGGTCAATGGAAGTGGGAAAGTAGACATTTCAAAGCATAATGAAGGATACTGAGGGTGGAGTAACGCTGGTACCTGGAGCTTGCATTTACTGTCATTTATGTTCTTCTGCTTTAAAATGAAAATAGAATCACCAAAGAGCGACAAGGAGGTAATTATGTAAATAAATGCAGTACTTCATACACTATTTTACATAATTTTGCCTAAATTTCTTAGACTGCTGATCTCCAACCTGGCTTTTCAGGAGACCTGAAAGTCTCAAAATAAGATTTTAATATTAATTTAAAAAACAAATGACAGAGAGCATTTTTAGACTTGTGGGGAACCAGGGAATTTAAACACAGTTCTATTTCATAAAAATTCCAGGAACTGCAAGTCACTGATCTAGAGCTAGAGGAATGGAGGCACGCTGGGTCGAACTTGAACTTCACCAAGCAAAATGTTCACAGTGTCTGAGCCCACGACCTTCAGACTCTGTTATTCTTCAACTGAATGAGGTGTTGAAGCAGAAAGGAAAAAAAAATCATTCTTTTTGTCCAGTGGCATCAAGCTGGTAATTGTGGACTGTTAGGAAATGGATACCAACATTCTGAGTTTGTATAGCTTTTACTCCTTGAACGACTAAACCATTGTGTTCTTTACATACAAAAATAGAATGAAATAGAAACATAGAAGGAAATATACATTAAATAAAAACTGATATACATCATGTTATATCACATTATATAGGTGTAGAATAGAGCAAATGAAGCTCAGAGAAGTTAAAATTTAAGGTCACCAAGCAAGTCAGCAGCAGACAATGAGACCAAATCCCGATGACATACGATTGGGTGACTGCCGTGTGCCAGGCACCGTGCTCGAGGTACAAAGAAGAGTGAGAAATATTCTCTGTCCTAGTTCAGAAATGGAGGAGAGAGAAGGGGTGGAAGAGGCAAAAAGTAAATAACCAATTACAAGGCAATGTCTTAACCCTCCCTCCCCCCCCCCTCCCCCCCCCCCCCCCCC